TCCCTTTACCATTCTTGCCATCCATGCCTGCTATTCTGCACCCCAGTCTAGAGCCTGCAAAGCCAATTGTTCCCCATGACTTCACCCGCTGGCTGGCCCGACAATGATCTTTTGGATCCTGCACCATTGACTGCATACATACCTCTCGAAAAACAACCCAAACTGGAGGCACGCCAAGGGAACAATGATGGTGTGATCTTCACTGCCCTATCTCAGATTCCTGGCAGCTGGAATGGCTGGCCATCGGGGCTCTTTGCGATGGATATCTCTGCTGAAGACTTCAAACAAACCAAGAAGTTACAAGTGAATTGGGTGACATGTAGTAACGGAGGTGATCCTGATGGTTCCCAGACAGCTTCGACAATTTGTGATGGGAAGATCAGCAATAGGCAATGTCTTGGTGTCATTTGCTGTGAGAATTCAGACTGTAAAGTGGTCTGCCATCCTGGAACCAGCCCAGCAGTCCGTAAAAAAACAACTCAGGCAGACATGTTGTTGCGGATCTGAACTGAAATATTTTGATTGCGCATCACAGTCATATATCATTTGCACGGATGCTCCTCAATGCTTACAGGTATCATGATCTATTTTCACAGGATGATGACTGTCCTCCTACCTCAGATATCGAAGCTGTCAATCATTTCCTTTGTCAGAAAGCTTGGGAGCGACTTGTCGACTACACGGGCTGTACAACAGATGGAAATCCAAAGCCTGATGCAGTAGACATCGACATGGAAGCTCTAATTCTACTAGAGATGTGAATGTTTGATAGATCTGAGGATGCAGGTGTTGCAGGAAATCACCAGTGGGGATTAGATGTTGGTATGCACCAAGATGGTTGGTATCCTTGGAGCAATGATGGTCCAGAGGGAGAGAAGAATTCACATGAAGGAAATGAGTCTGAACTTGAAGTAAGTCAATTCCATTTGACCTCAGTAAAATCGGGCTGAATTTCATTAGGTGGGACCCGATTTTGATCAAGAAGAGCTTGCAAAATGGCATAGAGATCAACTGGATAAGCAAGAAGTGGAGAGGAAAGCACAAAAGGTGACTTATCCAAAACCCAAGATGCTGTCTCATGATACAGCTGTTACTATGTGCAAACAGCAAGCTCCAGATGAAATTCCGGATAAGCAGAGTGTGTCCAAGTCTGGCAACATTGAAAAGGATACTGCACCACCTGCTAAATGCAGTCGCAGGAAATCAAAGCATGACACAGATCCAAACCGGTAGACAAAAAGAGGAACCTTGTAGTTGAAATTTATATGGTTTTACCTTTTGCTCCTTTAAGTACTTGATATTTTAGATATCCCCTTAATACAAAGGATAAATCTGAGGCCATTTCATGACAATACCTGAAGTTTCCCAGTAAAAGTTGAGTGAATGTCAAGTTGAACTCAAGTGAATGCAAGTGTGACAGATGTGTCACACATCTGTGTTCGCTGCGTTTTATTGAACAACGCATGCATTAATTTCATTCACGCATGTGTTCAAGGCCTAAATGCAGATATCTCAAAGTGCGTGAGATGTGTTCATTGTCATTGACATGTGTACATATTTTTTACGATTAGTTGGCCTTTAGCACATTGTCCTTGGCCTGGTAGGTGTATTATTGAATGTCTATTATGGTTCAAGCACTCATAATGACAGTATTAAGTACTTATTGACTCATTATGTTCTAGGAAATTAAGATATTTTGGTAAGGCTCAGTAACTTCAACTTGGACTCGCATTTGTATATAATTTCACGCAGAAATACCAACATACATGCAGGAGTATAAACGCAAATGAACGCATCCGATCCTGAGAAAAACGCAGACAAATGCACCTCACGCACCATGCACACGCAGAATTCACCTGGCCCCTTCTGCTCAAGATGGTACGGTATGACAAAATTTTGAAGGAATCAGGTGGTGGGTTGAGAACGTGATGCGGATATGGCTCGAGAGGGTATATTCTGGGCGGAAGGCATACAGATGGTAGTGGTACAAGGGTAAGGTACTTCTAGTTGATCGGTAAGTGTAACGACAGTTATGTAAATAATACTAAATAATGCAGTGGCGTCTACTGGTGAACACCAGATTCCAACACGAAACGGTGTTTATCTTCTCTCGACCGTCTGTTATGGAAATCGGAGTCTTTTCCCATATAGTATGAGTCAACACATGCCTCAGACTCTCGGCTTGACCTCGGCTTACCAGTACTCTCTTACATTCTCCTTTCTTCTTGCAGACACCAGAATATAGCAGAACATTGTAGAATATTAATTATCCGAAGCCTCTAGTATAAGATAAACACTGTCTGTACTACTATTAAGAACAAACTAATCTTACTACTCTTCAACGTCCGCTTAACTGTGTGATTTAAACGTCATCGACCGGTTACGCCAAGCGCTTTCCAACTGAATTGCTTCCCGACTATGCCTAGCGCTCGTCCGAAGCCTTGTTACTTGCGCCTAGCGCTTGCTGATTCCCCCGTTAACTACACCTAGCGCTTGTAAACACCCTTACGGATACCTCTTGGTGGTCAGAACTCGACTTACAGGCATCTTCGCTCACGACTTGGGTTTTCCTCGAGTATTCATTTTTGTGTGTGTATTTCGCAAAACACCCTCATTCGTAACACCGTTGTGTGTCCTCAAGGTCGCTGTTGCTCTCCAGGCCAAGCACCGCAACCTCGTCTGTTATTTGCCAGAAGGAGAGGCAACGAGCATGGCGTGATACACGAACTATTTAATACACTGATGCATATTTTTGGAACACAAAAAGAATAGGGTATCGAACCCTGGGTCGCGCCACGACCATCGAACAATTCAATGAGAGCCGGCAATGCCACCCCCACACCACACTAAGGTGGACGGGTCCAAAGGAGGTGAAAGGCTGTCGTCTTCCGAAGACAGCCTCACTGAAGATACAACTCACGAATCACCCCACGAAACAGGAACGGGGTGTATTGATGAGTAAAGCGTGTCTACTTGTGGGTGGGAGTCGTCTATGCAAAAGTGGGAGCGGAAAAGGAAGGAAGGAAGTAAGTACGTACGGCTCCTACTCTATATATATAGTGGAATAATCTATATATAGGATAACTCCTAGTTCACGATGAGTCAGTTCTCGGGCCCGCGGCGCTATATAACAACGAGGGCGGGCGCATCGTTGTAAGCCGGGCTTACAGGAGGGCACACTGAATAAGGAACAGCGCGACTAGAAGAAAGTGTTGTGATCGTGGAGGGAAAAGCGCAAACGGGGAACGCGATCGAGCAAAACTTTGGTCGATCACAAATCCGTTCGTTCCTCACGTCAAATTTGTGGGGCAACAGATTACATGAAACCGCTTTATACAATCGGGACAAGGAAAGTTTGCTGCGCCAGTTTATCTTACAGACGTCTTGGATGCAGACATCTCGAGTAATACCACGTTTAAAAGAAACGGTAAGCAGTGAATGCACCAGCAGGATACGTTATTTAAGACCCTCACCCGGAGCGCTCTTACATCATGTCCGGAGTACAATTGATTCCTGAAAAATAGCCGCTCATAGACGGTGTCCGGTCGTGGTATGATACAAAGTTATGCGATAACTGTAACTCAAGAAGATATGGTACAATGAAACCGAGACGAACCCTGCTCGTCAGTAATCGTCGCCTGCGTGCTATTTCGTGCGGATATCCGAAACACGATCCCAGCACGGCCATCTATTGCCTTCCTCATAGTACTCAACACGCCGTCTCTTCGGCTCCCGGTCCGACTCTTCCACGCGTCGATATGTATCCAACCCGTACCCAGGGTCGCGCCATTCAGTACACACCCTGGGCACATCACCGAAGCTTGCACTATGTAGCTTGAAACTCGGCTCCTTCGCGTCGCCATCGTCGTCATCGTCTTCGGATTCAGACGATGACGGACACCAGACGTAGGCGCCGCGGTTGATTTTGGAACGGTGCGAGGATAGAGGGGAGATAGGCGATGGGGACTGCGAGGGAGTGTGTGAAGAGGTCGAGGAGGCAGGTGCACGTGTCCGCTCTGGGATTGCCGTGGGAGGGATGGGTATATTGGGCTCAGCGGCGCGGTCTGGCAGGGCGGCAGGAAATGGGCGGCGGGTGGCGGGATGGCGGGGCGGGATGGTAGGATGATAGGACGGTAGCACGGACGTGGTCATTGGCTGCTGAGGCAATGCCGATGACGAGGATGAATGCGCCTCCTTCGGATAAACGCTTGCCGGCCCGCCCGTCATTGAATGGTTCCGGTAGTGCCTCTGCATGTTCGAGTTCACGTTGAACGACCTTCCGCATCCGGGGAACGGACAGTGAAACGCTGGGTACACGTAAGCGCCGGACATATAGAAGGGGCTGTGACTCACGGGTATCGCCTGTGTGGGTGTTCTGGTGGATTCGGAGGCTGCTCGGGCGGTTGAAGCGCTTGTGGCAGATCTTGCAGATGTGGCGCCGCATCTGGTCAGCCAGGGAGTCGTCGGTCGTGTATTCATGGGTCAGTTGGGTTTCCGAATTGGTGTGCAGGATGAAGACGGTCGCGCAGAGGTCGGATGATGATGATGGCGGAGGAGCAGGTGGTGGTCGTTGCTGTAGGAGGTAATCTGCTTACATCAGTATCCTCCAACAGGCGAATACGACCAGGATTTACCAGGGAACATCTCGTGTATGCTGGGCAGCGCAGTCATGTTGGGTTCTGTGGTAGTCGTGGTCAAAGAAGAAGGAACGAAAAATTATGCTGTAATGCGTGCCTGGATCAGCCGGCGGCCAATTCTGGCTATGATCTGAGCGTGGATCGGCGTAAGTCTTGCTGCGGATCCTTCCCCTGTTTGTTTGTCATCTTCACCACGCGGCATCTCTGCCATTCGTTGAACATATCACTGGTCCCTAGAACAGTGCCAAATTAAAGTGATGGAAAATGTCCCAAAGGGAGGTTGATCAAATTCGGGATCAAATCGTTGATTCGTCATCCCTTGGCACGTATATACTCACTTACCCTGTACACATGGCAAAAGTGTCGGATATGGTGTAATGGCTAACATTACCGCCTTTCATCGACATTGATTGACATACACTTGCGCGGTAGCTCGGGGTTCGATTCCCCGTATCCGAATCGTGGTCTCTCACCCGTGCTTTTTTAGGCGGACCGCGGGGCTACTGCTCCCTCTTCATTTATTCTTGACGTGCTGCGGATTGATTCCCCATGCTAGCTCCCAATTGAGTCTGTGATACATTTGTTCATTCCCAGCGTATTTCATTATTGCTTTAAACATGACCTAAACTTGGAGGGCTGCCTTTGCCAGGCCTGTAGCGTCGTGGTGTTCGTACTTATGCGCTCGTCATCTCCATTTGATTTGGATTCTGCAGAAGTGACACATATGACGATCGTCCCTTGTGATATGCAGAGCATCAGCACACGGCGATCGATCACCGTCTTAGTCCTTTATTACCCAGTGCGGGAAATAGTAGCCGGACACTATGACGCAAATATGCCCTGTATCTACACTATATCGAAAATATAATAGTAGAATAGCCACTAGGCACCTATCGCGCAATTGTATTCCCTAACAGATGTATCTTCACTTAATATTGGATCAAAAAGATATTTCATAGCATATACGCAGATCAATCATGCAGTGACATGTGAGTATGTATATTCAAAGTACCCTGCCATACATACGACCACGCTGCAACTGCCCACCTTGAAGTTCCGTATATATATACCCATGGACCATCCGGTTGAGGCTTGAATAAATATGTAAGCTTTCATAAAACTAAAGCCTGTATGGAGGGGATCCCAATCCTGATACTCCTCCAGTGAGAGTTGGGAGCGCAAAGAGGAAGTTAAAGATTCCAATAAAATGATATCCGATCCTACAATACAATGAATCATCCGGGTTCAAGGGAGCATCCATACGGTGTTCAGTATTCAAAGATGCGCACACTAATACTAATGAGCATGCTATGAGTTTAACACTTGTACAGACCCCAGCATCGACTCACACATTATCGACCCATGAAGACTTCCAAGAGCCTGAGGCCACACAGCTCGAAATATCAAGGACCCGGAAAGCACCTAATACACACCAGACTCTGAATGTCCCCACCAAGCGTCCGGTGTCCGCTCACATGTCCCCTCGACACCTAGGGCTCCGAGTCATCCAAGTAATTCAAACACCACATACCACAGAATCGAGGTCCACGAACAATATACGCCCTGTCTTTTCCTGCCCGACTGTAGCTGCCCTCCGACGCTTTAATTGCGTTGCCCGCTCCGAAATGAAGTCAACGCCGCGTTTTACACATATTACCACTCGCATTGTGCTGACCGTAATCAACTTGACGAGACCCATCCGACTCCCGCTATGCCTATATCGGACTACAGTGTCCCCGTGTCCCTGGTACAGTTCTGTCAATGTGGCCAGGACCACAACACTACAGACCTGAGACCTCCCAATTCCCACTTACTCACAACTTGAAGCATACCGTCCGAGTCCTGGAAAGTCTATCTCCTCGATAACATCAAGGAAAAACCGTTGACGTCACGGCTGGTGCTGGTGGTTGAGGTCAGAATGGAATCCGGATGATGTCAGGCCTGGCGGTCCGTGGCCGTGGACCACGAAAGATTAATGACAAAAGCAGTGAAGAAATTCTAGGTCGAGCCTCGTCAGAATATGTGATCTGTATTCAATTTCTCGAGATAACGGTGGTGTGCATCACCAGCAGGATATCGGTCTATGATCGTGTAACTATATATAACAGACGATATTCGTAGCGACTAAGGCTAAGTTAGTCCAAGCCTGAGTCCGGTGGTGAGCCTGGGGCTTGATTCCTCCGTCTGGATTGGGGCAGTATTCCTTGAAGAATGTTCGACAGTATAACTGACTTGTGGTACTATCACATAGTACGACAACGCGCACCTATCGGACGGACATTCATCCTCTGGTATGACTTGAGTGGAAACTCAGAGGAGCAGAGAAGTCGGGCGAAAGCAACGATGGGCTTAAGCAAGACACATCATAAGTACGGGAATCCCCACTGTAAACTCCCGCCTAGTGACGACCTTCAGATTTGGAAGTATCAAATACTGAGCAACTTCAAGGCTGAATCCCTCAGAGTCAAAGAGATTTGGAATGAGTGCCGAAAGCTGTACGAAACACAAATATCGCGAACATGAATAAGAGACGATTCAAGATGGATTAGTCCATCTTGTGTGCTTGAGTTGTTGGATATGGTCTCGCGGCTAGGAGTACCACCCGTATACCAATAACGCCGTCACGTTCTATTCCCTATACCCAAATCAACCTTGCATCGCTCACCTCTTTTCGAAAAAAAATCCTTTCTTCTTCGTTTACCGCGAGTACGCACGGTGATTTGCCAGTCGGAATTCGATTCTGTTTAGACTCTCTACTCAGGCACTTTTTGCGTCGAGTAGGAGAGTATTTTCCCTTTCCGCCGCACGCACTTGGTATCGAATGGCACGACGCCAAACATTCGTACGCACTTGAAATAGCCTTTACCAGGAGTGGGGTCGCTCCCGAAGCACGTATACAATCGTGATTGCATTGGGGCATAAACCGCGAGGACACTGAATTTCTAGCCTAGAGCTTCTACACCAAAACTCCTGCCACGATTAAGCCATGAGTGCGACCTTTTTCGAGGATAAATAAGTACAACAACCTTCATGCACTCCACCGCCTTGTACTATCCTCCCCCTCCTCCTCTATCCCCGCACCGGCGTTCCAAAATCAACCGCGGCAACTAGTATCGCTGGGACCCGAATCTGAAGACGACGACGAGGAGCCGAGTTTGAAGCTGCATACCACAAGCTTCGGTGATGTTTCCTGGCAGGGTGTGTGTTGAATGGTGCTACGCCTTGGATCCATATCGACGGGTGGAACCTTGGAAGACTCGGACTGGGAGATAGGAGTAATGGAGTATATGGCCTTGCGGGGATCGTGTGTCGGATATCCGCGCGAAATAGAACACATGCGATGATTAGTCACAGTTTCAATGTACCACATCATGCGAGTCTTTGAGTTCCACGGTTATCGTACAAGTTTGTATCATACCACGTCTTTACCACTGTACACTTTCAATGGGCGGCTGTTTTTTAGGAATGAGTTGTACTCCGGAGATGATGTAAGGGCGTTCTGGGAGGAGAGTCTTCACTAATGTCTCTGCATTTGCTTACCTGCGTTTACGTATGATGGGATAAGGAGTCCATATCATTCACCGTAGGAATCAATTCCACTTCGGGCCATGATGTGAACACTGCTTTTCATGCCGTTCCCGGTGAATCTTGAGTAAATGTATCCACGGCTACTTACTCGCTGGCACAGTCACAGCTTACAATTTGGTATTACAAAAGATGCCTTGCCTCGATTCTATAAAACGGTCATATATGACATGTTGCCCCACAAGTTTGACATCAGGAACGAAGGGCTCTGGGCTTGCTTAAACTCTATTCACTTGTCATTTGTCTATTTACTTTTTCTCTCTCAAATCGCATCCTACCTGTACAGCTTAACTTGGTGGTACCTGTGTGGAGATGTTAATGGTTCGTGTATCACACCAGGCTGGCTGCCCCTCCTTGTGCCAAATAAAAGACCAAGCTGCGGGGCTTGACCTGGCTGAGAGCAACAGAAGGACGACGTATACAACAGCCGAGAGAAACTCAACGCCACTTCATTGTACCATATTATCGCGAGGTCCTTGGGTTATCGTATTACTTGTATCATAACCACATCTTTACTGCTCAAGAATTCGGTCACCTATCACCGGTAGGAATAAATTGTACTTTGGACATGAGGTCTTCAAGGACCCCTGATTATCCTCACAGAGCTTAGAACGGAAAATTTGGCCTTTCTGGAAATTTGTCCGGACTTTTTCATAGGCCCTAAGCCTGAAATTTGTCCGGACTTCCCATCTCGCCAGGGGATCAATGCAATTTGTCCGGACTTTCCGACCGACCTTCAAAATTTGTCCCAAAATTCGCCAAAATTGGTCATAAATCACTAAAAAAACGTACACTATGATCTGACATCGATAATCGCGATAACTCGTCACCTAGTGCTCGACATCATCCACCTCCTCCATAGCCAACACGTTACAGCTCCTCTGGCCCTTCCGATGCACTGTATTTAAGCTTGTGACTGCCCTTACTATTCCCTCCTTCTCTACAACCAGTTCTTTGAATACAGTCAAAGTTTCGTGTGACACAATAGCACAATCACCAGCAATTTTGGCCGAGTCAGTTACTTTGGAGTCTATTAGAGTCTATTCAAGTATATTCAGGTGTGACTGCGGCAAAGAAATACAATAAGCTACAATGTCAACGATGTTGCCACCTCTGGAGTGACCCGTAGTTTACATTGTCCAGCATTGTCCGGACTATTGTACTAACATGGCCACAACCATCTACATATCAGCACCCTGAATATACGTCTATTCCACTCATTCCCCCAGGCGACATCTATTCCCAACACGATTCCTTATCCTTGTTGTGTTCCAAAAATTCGCATCAATGGAATACAGAGATTTTCATAGTTCGTGCATTATGCCCAGCTCGCTGCCTGTCCTTGCCGCTTACCTACCAAATGAAAGACGAGGCTGCGGAGCCTGGCCAGAGAGCAACAAACGACGACGTATACAACGGCCAACAGTAGCTGAATTCAACCCATTGCTGGCCGTACAGTGGGGCCAAATCTGGCGCAGGTCACAACATGTTTCGGTATCTTCCAAACACCGTGTAAGAGAGGGTGAAATTAAGGCATGTCAAAGTAAGTGTCGATACCAGGAACCTGCCATGTTGTCGAAACATACCTCAATGGTGCAGGCAATAGGAGCGAAAAGAGAATACCGCATGCCACGTTCAGGCGGAGCTAAAAATCCAAGCAAAGGCCGACAAAGGCTAGTGATTTGCGGATCTGGCTGGGCCAGCTTTTCGGGCTCGAAAAATCAGGCGCCTACAAAGTGTCAGCCTCACTTATCCCGCCAACGCACTCAAACAGGACCGGGCCTTTTCGGGTCTGGTTGCAGGCTATAAGTTTAACCCGAACATCACTATTCAAACCACACCTCCAACACCCATTTGCATCACCCTCACCACTA